TATATATAAGGCATAAAAATAGATGCATTTGGCAACTAGCATGACCCCTTGAAATCTTCAAATCTTCAAGGGCCTTCATCTTGGCTCGTCTTCATCGAAATGCCGTCTTGAGACATCTTTGCCAAAAAAAAATTACTAGCTACTACGACTAAGATAAATCTAAAGTACAAAAATACTTAACGGTACGCAGACCGTATTTAGATTTACAAAAATACGTAACTGAACGCAGTCCATATTTTCTATCCTAGTCGGGTCCCACTAGTTGCCATTTTTCTCAAAACCTGTTTTGAATTAATCTTTCGTTCACCCATTCACTATTTGTGAATGGCCCATGCATTTTACGAGATAAAACAAGTAAACACGCAAAAATAGTAACTAACTTAGGTGGTTAATCCGATTAACGCGCCTAATTAAAACTAGTCAAAGTTGTTTACTACTTTATGTATTACTAAGGTGCAATTGTTCACGTAATTAGCTAAGCTCTTACTAAATTCCGTATCCAACTTAATTAATCCAATTAATTAAGCCGGTTAACCCAAATTTGTCAAAATCAAAATTTTTTGCAAGAGCCAGAAAAATCGAGGTCTAACCTAATTAAAATAATTACATAAATATTTTAAAACGGCAAAATTTTCGCAAAATACATAGCTCGAAATTAAGCAAAAAAACAGCCCACACAATTCCTTGTGGGTTGCGCACTATGGCTGCTAGGCAGCTCATGGGGTGTGCTTGGTGCGTGGTGCTAGCATGCAGCGCCTAGCGTAGCATGCCACGCTGCTAGCACCAGCAGCCTGCCTTGCATGCTCCGCATGCTGGAGCCTTCCAGCAAGTGGCGGGCTGGCTGGGGCTTATTGCCATGCTGCCCAACAGCGTGCTCAAGCACTTTAGCAGCCTAGGCCACTGCCCACACATCAACCCCTCGCATCCCTCGCCACACAGCAGCGCAACATCAATGCTTAGCCCCTGTGCGCACCATAGGCAGCCACATGCGGGTTGCTGGGCAGCCCGGCTAGCCTTGGTGACGCTTTGGGTTTTGCCTCAATTTGCGTGCATTTTTCTCGGGATTTTAATCTCGATTTGTGTGTAACGTAAAATTAATCTAAATTTAATTTAGAATTACTTTAGGGGAAAAATGAAAATAAAATAAGTCCAACTTAATTAAATTCAATTTTAATGGTGCACAAGCCTAAATTTCCAAAATAACTTTGTAATATTTTAGGTCTTTCTTGAGGCTTAAAATTGAAAGAGCTATGTCCATAATTAATTTAACCAATATGCAAATTAATAATGGATTTGACAAATAGGGAGTTGGAAAAATAAATTAATCATCTAATGATAAAATTTTTCAACTTTCATACTTGTTTAAAATAACAAGATTACATCTTCCAATATGAAGATTAATCAATATTTACTCACAAGCATTTGAACTTCAAGGATTTTAATCAGCCAAATATGAAAAAATCCAAAATTAGTTCAACATGGAATTTAGGGTTAAAGTTCCTAATCATTTAAACATTTAAAGATTAGATCTTTAACATACTAGGAACTTAAAATTACACATTCACAACAAACATTCACACATTAATGCAATTTATTTGCATAATTGTGAAAAGCAAGTTTATGTGAAAAAGAACAAACCAACTTAAGCACATATTATAACTCCATAATCATGCTTAAAAGATATTTAAATTGCAGTAGATTAGGGATGCAATAATGCATTTAATCTACCCTTGACATGCTTGCATTAATCAAGGCATAAAAGATTTAAAATTTTCGTTGAAAACGGAAAAACCCTAAAAAAAATGGGTGAAACTAATTCAAAATGTCGATTCCACCCAAAAAACACTATTTTCTAGCCAAAATCTGGGTTCGACAGCCAAAACGAGAAAAATACGAGTTTTAAAATTAATTAAAACGAGCTTCTAATCCATTTAGAAAAGAAAAACCAGAAATTAAATCCATTTAAAAAAACACCTTAATTAATAAATAATTGCAATAATTAAAAGGAGCGCGGCTCCGATACTGTTGTAGGGTTTCATAGTGACCCTCACTACGCGGAAAGAAACCCCCCAAGACCCGCCCCGATAACTAAAGCAATTAAAGCATGCAAACATAATTAATACATAATTAAAAGAAGAAGGGATAAAGAATTATACCCTAGACGCGTGCTTCGCTTGCTAAACGAGCTCTTACTTCAACCTCGCAAATGCAAGGCCTCCGACGGTTCGTACCCTCGAACCCGACCCGATCGTCCTAAGTCCCGAAGGTTAGTCGGGACCCGAACAAAATATAAACTTTGTAGTTTTACGAACTTAAGGTATTCTAAAAAATGGAGATGCCTATATAGTTCCACTCAAGTGTGTTTTTCCAAAATCGCACTCAATGGGTATTTATAGGGAATGGGGGCTTGAATCCCATTTCATGATCAATGTGGGATCATGTGCAAATGCATTAATTTATTTAATTCTAAATTAAATAATTAATCAAATGCAATCACAATGCAACAAGTGTCAAGAGGAGAGGATAAGTTAGGTAAGGACCAAAACCAAAGGGGGGGACCATTGCCTTGCTCACCAAGGCTTTGCTCCAAGCATTGGTCCCTACTACTCAAACCGGCACCAAGCAAGGACTGCTGGGCTGGCAGCCAGTTAGCATGCTAGCATGCACCAGCCAGCATAGGTAGCATGCACCGCATCACTGCTCAGCACGCCACGCGCACCAGCCAGCATGCCTAGCATATGCATGCTGCTAGCGAGCCACGCATGATACTAGGTGCTGGGTGGTGGGCGAGGCCCTCGCTGCTGACTGCTGACTGCCTGGCACTCGCACTCGCACATGCACAGGGCGATGCCTGGCATGGTGCTGCTGTGTGAGGCTGCCAGCACGCTGCACGCTGCTTGCTGCGATGGCCTACACGCACACGCACATACGCATTGGCCTAGCCATGCGATAGTGCTGTGCTTGTGCGAAGGGCTGTGCGATGGTGCTGTTATGCCATGCGAAGGCTGCGATGGCATCTAGGCACCCAAGCACGCATTCTGCGGTAGTACTGTGCCATGCGAAGGCACGCACACACGCAAGCATGCTGCTGCGATGAGCTTCCTGGTGTGCCTAGCACACATGGCGCGCCTAGCACACACATGGTGTACCTAGGCTTGTGATGAACTAGCCTAGCGTTACACTCACATGGCTAGGCCAATGTGATGCTACGGTTATGCTCGTACTTGTTGCTTGTGATTTTGCGACGCTCGGTCTCGACGCCCTAGGCTCGATATCCGACATCAGTGTTCGTAAAACTCCGACGACTCATTGAATCCTTCAGATTAATTCGTCGTCTCGGATCGGTTGTTCGATTGGGTTCGACCCGAATGGTTTAGTTAAGATTAAGCTGTAATATTAATTATACCTTAATATTACTGATCGGAAGCGGCCTCCACCTAGGCATTCTGATCACTTGACCTTACTGAAGAATTAGCTCTGTAATAATTCTGAACCCTCTATCAGAATAATACACTTGTTGGAAGGACACTATTCCTTTCAGAGTTCAAGGGATATTTAGCATGAATCATAAGTTTACCCATGCCCAAATTGGTCTACTTTTACCAGAAATGAGTTCGGGAGCGAGGGTACTAAAAGAACGTTCCCTTTAGGGGGGAATCGCTATTCTAGCCCAAGTGCGGCTTTTACTAGCTCTTCCTTTTTCACAATTTCATCAACAAACAATATATGCAACGTGATACCTAAAACTAAGTTAGTTGATTTTATTTACATGCGTTAATCACATAAAGATTACATTGCAATGATTGTCGTTATTATTTGTCATTCAAATTCGTGAAATGAGCAAGAAATAAACAATATTTGCCTTGACTTAAGTGATAAAACAACAATCAATTATTCCAATTCTAGTCTTTAATTAATGCAAGAATACTATGTGAAATTGATTAATTAAAGTTTATTTAAGGTGACCAAACAACACTAATTAATTAATTGAAGTTATTTAAATAAGAAAGAAAGGTCATTTATCTAAGTGCTTAGGAAACTAACTATTCTCCTTTGATTGCTAGATCTTTGTTTGGATGTTTATGGACCTTCCTTCTTCTTCCTACCTCCAAGGCTTCAGTAGAATCAATTAGGGTTGGAGAGTATTTGGGAAGAGAGGAGAAAAAGTAGTATGATAGTAAGAGGGTTTGAGAGATTAGGGTATTCACAATGCTAGGGTTTTAATTCTGATTTTTTTTGTGTATTTAGGTTTAAGCGAAGACCCTTATTTATAGGCGCAGGAATCAGGTTTAGGGATTTAGATTCGCAACGTCACGTGGCGCGCGCAACTCTCAGAGTCGCTCTAGAGGCTGGAGTGTTGTTCGCAACTTTAGGACCGCGCACAACTTAGAGAGTTGGGCACGGTGCGGTTTGCCTTATACAAAAAACGCGTTTTTAGAATTTCCATAACTTTGGATTGTAAAGGCGGATTAAGGAAAATAAGATATCATTGGAAAGCTCTGAATGTCTTATTTCTAATTCCATTAAAGATAGGTTAAAATCTATTATGGATCAAAAGATATGGCTGTTTGAGTGTAAGGGTGTCGGTTTTAGGGCCCGGTTTAGTATTTTGATGATAACTTCTTCGTTTTAACTCGGCATTGAGCTTATAATATACCGTTGGAAAGCTCTTTAAAAACGCTATCCAACTAGATAGGCCTTGAAAGGATATTGTGTCTTTAAATGTTCATGTTGGCTCGGATTTCAACAATGTATGATCCATTTGTTCTAATCATTGCATATGACGCATTTAGGTCCGTTATTAATCAAGATTAAACATGTATGAACATGTTTTAGGCCTAATTAGTAATTGGACTAGCATGAAGAACGGGTTTTTGTAACATCATCGCACTTCTCATCGGGACAGGAGGCCAAAAGTAGGTGTCTACACTATTCAATAATCTAATCACGATATCATATGACTAAGATACAAAAACGTATTGAATTTTATTATGTACAAGTACAACCATGTAATATATCAACAAAGTAAATGGAAGCTAGTTAACCAACATGGGTACATATTTGACATTGTCTATAATATCAACATGTCTATTGTATAGTATTCCCTAAAACAAATTGTTCCCTCTCACTTAATATTCACATCATCTTATGCATGTGACTGATTATGAGTATTTATCTAAGACGAAACATTTTTTCCTCTAATTTGGAACACATAAAAATTTATAACCTAATATACAAACAATTACAAAATAAAAAACCACAAAATTATTCCTTCTAACGCATCATAATAGCAAATTCTTCAAATGAAAGAACACCATCTCCGTTTAGATCATACACCCGAATCATAGCCTTACATTTGTGAATCGACTTTGGCTCACCAAGTCGAGTCAACATTCTCTTTAAGCTCTTAGGTGTTATAAACCCTAACTCATTCTTCTTATCATTGTACATAAAAAATGCTTCTCTTAACTCATCCCTCTTTTCCTCTTCCAATAGTCCATTGCCTTGCATCAACCTACCAAAATCATCTAAGCTCAACAACCTATCGCCATCCAAATCTGAACACTCGACGGCTGCTGTCGCCTCTTCTACTGATAGTCGTTGAGTATCGACTGCTTTCACACATTTTCGTAGCTCGGCTGGGGAGATTTTTCCGTCTCCATTCTCATCTATATATCTGAGAAACATAAAATTTCCACAATTTAATCTTTTTTACATACATAATTAGTTTACTCCCTACATCAAGAAACAAATTTAACACTTGTTGTTTTCTTGTATATATACAAAACAAAATTAAGTCTTAATGGAAGTCGAACCTAAGAATTCAACTAGGATATCAAGAGCTAGATAAACCAACTTATCTATCTTTGTTAGTTTGTTATTGTGTTAATTTGATAGTTTAAACTTTAAAGGGCAAAGTTAAAGGAAATGTGTCCTCGACTCTAGTGCAATTACTAACTATAATTTGGATCGTATTATGGAGATAATAATTTGTTTATTTGGGTCATATATACTTCTTGTTAGAGAATTCTATAGAACTTTAGGTTAGTGGGAAATAAACTTGAAGTCCACCTAAACGGATCCTACAAGGTCACATATTAGGTTTGGATCAATAAAGAAAGCTAAAGCTCAAAGTGGGCCTTAGGTTAGCCGACCAAAAAGGGAAAAAGGGAAAGGAAAACCTAACCTAATTAATCTAATGGGATTATATTAATTAGAGGTTGTAGAAAATAAAATATACAGTATTCAGTTTTCAAAAGCAACGTAATACAGTATTCAGTTTTCTAAAACAACGCAATATTTTTTCTTTCAAAATTCTCTCTCTATAAACTGGTTCTTTACTCCAAGAAAGGTAAAAGATTTTCCCGTCCAACTAGCACTGGTGGAGCATTGATTCAAACCGGTGGACCAAATAGAGGAGTCACGGGCTCTTTATCTCACGTAGAGAAGAAGATTGCTAAGAGGATTCATGCTTCAAAGGTTAATTCTAAACTATTATGTGATCCTTTAATTGTATATGCATGAGATTCTGTTTAGGTGCCTATGAATATGATTCATGAAATTCCACTTAGAGTACCTAAAATCCTACACTGGTATCAGTTAGACCCTTGCATATAATTTATTGGTCACGATAATATGATTATTTTGATGTGAATTAGGCTAATTTTAATTCGATTTAGGGGAGGAATTTAATTATGGATCGAATAACCTTATTAATATGATTTAAATTGATTGGAATTGATTTAATTGTGAATTTTTAAAATGTTGAATTCATGTAGTTTAATCTATTTTTTATATATTAAAATTGGTTTAGATATGATTAATTAATTCATGTAAAATAGTTTTATATGAATTGAGAATTATTTTATATGAAAAGCCTTAAATTAATTAAAATAGAGATTTTAGATTAATTTTCTAAATTAGGCATTAAGGGTTTATGTTTAATTTTATTTAGACTAATTAATTAATTTTACAAAAGATGTAGAATTAATTTACTTAAAAAAAAAAGGAAATTAATGGTAGAGTGGGAGCAGCCACGACTGGGTGGCAGAACCACCTGCCGGTGGGCCAAAGTGGCTGCTCAAGTGGTCGGTAGGGGCGGAGGGTAGTAGGCGCGTCGATGTGGAGAAGGTCAGAGGCTGAAACGTGCAATATTGCACGGTTTGAGCTCTGCACCCACTAGTTGGTGTGCCGGGCTTCTGTTTGGTGCACCAACCAGTGCTGCTGTGTCTGGGTGACCGCTTGGCTATGGAGGCCAGCTGCTGCGGTGACTGGGATCCGGCCTGGCTGCTGAGGTGGTTGTGACGTGGCTAGGCAGTGTGCTCAGTCCCCTGTTTTTCCAAAAATAATATTTGTTTTAATTAATTCTTGATTTTATTTTTTGTTTTAATTGTAGATAATATTGAAAAACTTATTTTTAGTTAGATTTTAAGCAATCCTAATTAAGGTTGTTTGACTTGATTATGAGATAATTACATAATTTGATTTTTTAATATCATTAAAATTAGTTTGTTAGCTTAATTTTAGGATAGAATCTTTTTAGATGGTTAGGATTTCCTTAATCTAAATATGATTTATTTCCTAGGATTTCCTAATTAATTGATTTATCCACTTGACATAATTAAGAATATTAGATATTTTGATTATTGGCAAGTATAATATGCGATATTATTATGTGGAATTTTTTTTGTTAATATGATATATTATTGCTATAAATGACTAGTATGGCCCAAGATTTAAATTATAAATACGATATGCATATCGTTATGTATTATTGTAATTTAAATTCGATCTGCGCATCGTTAAGTATGTTTGTAATTTATTTTAATTTGGAATTAGTTTAATTATTTAAATACTTAATTAATCCAAAGAAGAGCCCATGATGAGAAGGCCCATGATGAAGGTGGATGGAAATCCATGAAGAGTCCAAGGAGGTGCCTAATCAAGCTTAGTTCTTAGAATTAGGGGCCATACTAGCTCATATTTAATTTTGCATTTTATTATTATTCTTAAAATGCTTATAAGTTTATTGTATGTTTGTTATCAATGTGCTAGAGTTCAGTAATTAATAACAACATAATGAACTTAGGTTCCGCTAATATTGAGGTTCGCTTTTCCAAATACAAAGTACTTATTAACCTTTAATTAATAGTAATAGGTCATGCCCCCGCAGGGTATCGTTATTAATTTTGGGTGGTGAGGTGAAATTGCGAATTTTGCACACTTAATTTGGTTAACCTCAACAAAATCATCAAAAGCGTTTTGGATTTTGAAGCAAGGGAAAGTTAAGCATGAGATGTTTTTCTATCTAACCAATAATTACAAATGTTGTAATTAGTAAAGAGTTTACTTACCTTGAAAATGTAACTTTAAGAAAAGGCCTCCGTCTGCTTAATGCTGCATGTTGATAGGATCTTGGAATCACTTATTCAAATTGGGGCGTTAAAATTGAATAGAGTGCTTAAGTAACCTAGAAACCATTGAATGTTTTAGGTTTTTTATAAACATAAATTGAACTTTTCCTTTTTCTGTCTGTAGATAACATGTCTCAAAACAACAACAAAAACTCAGTTTTCAACATCTGTCCCTTCCTTGAGAAGGATAGGCTGAACGGAGAAAACTTCATCAATTAGGAAAGGACCTTAAGACTTGTTTCGAGGTCGGAGGGTAGAGAGGATGTCTTAGAAAACCCACTTCCAGTTGTGACTGATGAATCATCTAAAGCTGACAAACGTCATGCCAGGCAGGCTAATGAAAGGTCAGCTCCAATCACTTGCTTGATGGTGGCGGCTATGGAACCGGACCTCCAAAAGGTGTTTGAGACCAAGGATGCCTACACCATTATGCAAGAGATCAAGGCCATGTTTAAGAAAATAGGCTAGGATTGAGAGATATGAGACTAATAAGGAAATTTTGGAATGTAAGATGGAAATTGGTGAATCAGTTCGCCAGCATGCTTTCAAAATGATGGGTCTTTTTTAAAACATGGAACGTCTAGGATTCCCTTATAGCCAAAAGTTGGCTATTGATATCATTCTCCACTCATTGCCTAATAGCTTTAATTAGTTTAGGATGACTTTTAACATAAATGAGTCTGAAAAGACTTTGACTGAATTACATGGGGTGCTAGTCAATGCTGAATGGAACATTCCTAAAGAACCAAAGAAAGATGTTTTGATGGTTCAAAAGGGAAAGGGTATCAAAAAGACGGGGGCAGGCAAGAAGAAGAAAGGCAAGCAAGTTGTCACTGCTTTTGAAAAGCCTAAGCTGACTGCTAAGCCAAAAGTTGCTGTAGAAAGAAAATGTTTCTATTGTGAGAAGATAGGTCACTAGAAGAGAAACTGCTCCAAATACTTGGAGGACAAGAAGTCAAGTGCTTCCACTTCACGGTATTTATGTTATAGAAATCAATTTGACTTCTACTTCTTTGTGGGTATTCGATACCGGCTGTGGTTCTCACATAGTTAATGATGTTCAGGGACTAAAAATAAGTTGAAAACTAGCAAAGGGCGAGGTGGAGCATCGCGTCGGAAATGGAGCAAGATTTGCTGCACTTGCCGTCAGAAGTTATAGTCTACATTTACTGTTTGTATTAATTTTAGAACTTAATAGTTGTTATTTCGTTCCGTCAATTACTAAAAACATTATTTCAGTTTCAGTTATGAATAATGAAGGTTTTTGTTTTGAGATTAAGAGTAAATGTTGTTCAATTTCATATAATAACATGTTCTATGCTAGTGCGAAATTGATTAATGGTTTATATGTGCTTGATAGGACAATACAAGTCTATAACATAGATATCAAGAAACAAAAGTCGAATGATTCAAACCCAACATATTTATGACATTGCCGGATGGGTCATATAAACCAAATGCACATCCAATAATTACAAAAGGATGGAATCCTTACATAATTCGATTATGAATTTTTTGATGTATGTGAATCATGCTTAATGGAGAAAATGACAAAATCACCATTTATTGGAAAAGGTGAAAGAGCCAATGACCTCTTGGCACTCATACATACGGATGTTTGTGGGCCTATGAGTTTAAAGGCAAGAGGTGGGTTTAGTTACTTCATTACTTTCACTAATTATTTAAGTCGATATGGGTATATCTACTTAATGAAGCGTAAGTCGGAATCATTTGAAAAAGTTCAAAGAGTTCCATAATGAGGTACAAAATCAACTTGGTAAGACAATAAAAGCATTACGATCCGATCTTGGTGGCGAATATTTGACCCAAGAATTCGATAATCATCTAAAGGGTTGTGGAATAGTTTCACAATTGACTCCGCCAGGGACGCCATAATTAAATGGTGTGTCTAAAGGGAGGAATCGAACTTTACTAGATATGGTTCGATCAATGATGAGTCTTACTGATCTTCCAATTTCTTTTTGGGGATATGCTCTAGAAACAGCTGCGCACACACTAAATAGAGGTCCGTCAAAGGTTGTAGAAAAGACTCAATATGAGACGGGGAATGCAAAAGTTCTAAACTTATATTTTCTTACAATCTGGGTTATGAGGTCTATGTAAAACGTTACTGTCGACAAACATGCACCCAAATCAGATAAATGTCTCTTTGTGGGATACCCAAAGGAGACAAGGGGTTACTACTTTTATAATCGTCAAGAGAACAAAGTGTTTGTTGCTCGTGATATTGTCTTTCTCAAAAAGGAGTTTATTTCCAAAAAGATAAGTGGGGGTAAAATAGTTCTCGAAGAAATTCGAGATACGAAACAAATGGATGTGTATCAAACCGCGTTAGAGGCGAGGGCGCATGACTCTACTATGACAAGTCAAGTGTCCGAGCAAGCTAATTCACTAAGCAAAACTCCTATCGTCCCAATTGAATCTAATTCATGCGAAAATCTTCAAGATGTTGAAGTGAATATTTCTATTGATGCTCAAGCCCCACGTAGGTTGAGTAGAACGAGGATTCCAAATAAGAATCTAGTTGATTTCTTGTTAACTGAAGACTCTGAAATATTGATTTTGGAGGATTTAGAACCTACTACCTACAGACAAGCTTTGACGAGCCCAGACTATGAGAAATGGCTTGAGGCTATGAAATCCGAAATAGACTCCATGTTTGAGAATAAAGTTTGGACCTTAGTCGAGTTGCCTAATGGGGTCAAACCTATTGGATGCAAGTGGGTGTTCAAAATAAAAATAGACAAAGATGGAAACGTCTATATCTATAAAGCAAGACTGGTTGCAAAAGGATTCAACCAAATTCATGGTATAGACTACGATGAAAACTTTTCTCCAGTGGCAATGCTTAAATCGATTTTGATACTTTTGGCGATTTCTGCATATTACGATTATGAAATTTGGCAGATGGATGTCAAAATCGCCTTCTTGAATGGGTTCTTGACGGAGGATGTGTACATGACACAACCTGAAGGTTTTTAGGATCCACAAAATCCTAAAAGAGTGTGCAAGCTTCAGAACTCCATTTATGGATTAAAGCAAGCTTCTCGGAGCTAGAATCTTTGATTCGATGAGGCAATCAAACAATTTGGTTTCTTTAAAAGTGAAGAAGAATCTTGTGTCTACAAGAAATTTAGTGGGAGAAGTTTAGTCTTCTTGGTTTTGTATGAAGATGACATATATACTACTCATGGGAAACGACATACCAATGCTTGAGTCGGTCAAGGAATGGTAGAAAAGTTGATTTTCCATGAAATAACTTGGAGAAGCTGAGTACATATTGGGAATAAAAATCCAAATAGATTGGTCTCAAAGGATGATTGGACTAAGCCAAGAGACTTATATAGATAAGGTTCTTGCAAGGTTTAGAATGGAAAACTCTAAGAGAGAATTCATTCCCATATCGCATGACATTTTGCTTAGCAAGAGTTAGTGCCCATCGGAGCCTAATGAGTTGAAGCGGATCAGTAGCATACCTTACGCCTCGGCCATAGGTTCTATCATGTATGCCATGATATGCACTCGACTAGATGTTGCATATGCTCTGAGCGTATGTAGCAGGTTCCAAGCAAATCCAGGTGAAGTACACTAGACTGCGGCTAAGAGTATCCTGAAGTACTTAAGAAGGACTAAAGGAATGTTCTTGGTCTATGGAGGAGTAGATAAGTTGGTTGTTAAAGGCTATATTGATGCAAGCTTCCAAACCGACAGAGATGATTATTGCTCACAATTAGGGTACATCTTTTGTCTGAATGGAGGAGCAGTGAGTTGGAAAAGTTTCAAAGCAAGGCACTGTAGCAGACTCTACGACAGAATCAGAATATTTAGCGACGGTTGAAGTAGAAGGAAGCTGTTTGGATAAAGAAGTTCATAACAGAGCTACGCATCGTACCTAGTGCTCTAGAAGGGATTGAGTTGTTCTGTGATAATAATGACGCTATTGCACAAGCAAAAGAACCAAGATCGCATGACAAATCCAAGCATGTAATGAGGAAATATTACCTGATTCGCGAGATAGTTGACAAGAAGGATGTCAAGATCTGCAAAGTTCACACGGATGAGAATGTTCCTGATCCACTTACTAAACCTCTAACTTAACCCAAGCATGAAAGTCATGCTAAGGCTATAGGGTTGAAGCAAGTGTTAGAATGGCTTTAAATTGTTTTGTGTTTAGAGAAACCTTTTACAATGTAAAGACATGTTTTTCCTAATTTATGTTTATATGAAATGAAATTTTCTCTTATTTAATTTTAGTTTAGTATTAAATAAAATGTCCAATATATTTATTGAATTTAATGGGTTTGTCAAATACGTGATTTGATGAATGAATCCTCATAAGTGAACTGAATTCATAGAATATTTAAGTACCTGATCTGAGTCATTAAATTGGACATAAACGACCTAATAAAAGGATTAGCATATAAGATTGATTGACAACGCTGTTTCATAAGCTATGGGAACATGGAAATGTTTAGTCAATCATATGGATATGTATAGTTGATACATGATCGAACATACCAACTTAGAAGTTCTAAAACTTCGCAATTATATTAGTGGATTCTTAACACATGAGTGGAACACTACTTAGCTCAATGATTAGTGTGACTTTGATGCTGTCAAACGTCATGCCGTAAAAGGGGACTATACAAGCAGCACTCGAGTTGTGATAAAAGTTTAGTGGGAGTTTTGGTTGCCAAAAGATTGAATAGGTCCTACTATGTTAGATATGATGGGTATCTTAGCCTCTTGAAGAGTAAGAATTGAAAATGCATGGTCGTACTTAAATGGATCATAAGATGATCATTTGTTTAGCAGTTCAAACTCGGTTTTCAAGAAATAATTTGAAGGCTAGTATGGATAACATAGAGATGTAATCATACTATCAAATTAGAGACTAAGAGACTTAAAGAATTTGAATATTGCACACTTGTCTCGGACAAGTGGGAGATTGAAGGAAATATGTCCTCGTCTCTAGTGCAATCACTAAGTATAATTTGGATCGTATTATGGAGATAATAATTTTTTTATTTGGGTCGTCTATACGTCTTGCTAGAGAATGCTATAGAACTTTGGGTTAGTGAGAAATAAACTTGAAGCACACCTAAATGGATCCTACAAGGTCACACATTAGGTTTGGATCAATAAAAAACCCGAAGTCCAAAGTGCGCCTTAGGTTAGCCGGCCAAGGGAAAAGGGGAAAGGAAAACCTAACCTAATTAATTTTATGGGATTATATTAATTAGAGGTTTTAGAAAATAAAATATACAGTATTCAGTTTAAAAAAAAGAACGTAATGCATTATTCAGTTTTCTAAAACAACATAATATTTTTTCCTCTCAAAATTCTCACTCTATAAACTGGTTCTCTACACTAAGAACGGTGAAAGATTTTCCCGTCCAACTAGCATTGATGGAGCATTGATTCAAGCCGGTGGACCGAATAGAGGAGTCACACTTGAGGCTCTTTATCTCCTGTAGAGAAGAAGATTGCTAAGAGGATTCACGTTCCAAAGGTTAATTCTAAACTATTATGTGATCCTTTAATTGTATGTGCATGAGATCCTGTTTTGGTGCCTATGAATATGATTCATGAAATTCCGCTTAGAGTACCTAAAATCCTACAAAAGTTGCCTAAGTTTAGCAGTGTTTTTGAAGGGTATTATATTAATGATTTTTTTTATAATCTATAAAAACTAATGTTTAATCTCATTGTAAATAACTACTTTCACGGCTCTTAATTATTCTTTTTATTTTAAATCTTAACACTACTATTCATAACACAAGAATAGAGAAAACGTAGTTAAATAGGATTTTTTTTTTATTCGTCTTGTTGAATACTTTTTGAAAATCATACTTTTATGATTTATACTCAGATGTACTTTTAGATATTACATATTAGTGATTAAATTTGTATATAAGTAAAGCTGTCAAAAAAATTGGAAAGAACACAAAGAACGAAGGGAGTACTTGTCTCTTTGTTTGCTTTTGTTGTAGCTTTCATAAATTATTAAGTTTTTGAAGTATGTAACACGAGTAATACGAAACTTATGAAATAGTTTTTTTTATTTTTTTATTTTTATTTATTTTTTGTTGAAGGAATGTACTTTTGCTTATATATCAATAGCAAATTTGACACTTAATAAGGAACTAGTGCTAACGTAATAAGTGAAACAAGATTCTATGCATTTCTTAGTCCTATTTCTTTAGCTAATTTAATGCAAAGTCTACATATAAATTTATTTATAAAAGTATTATAATGTACACATAGAAATCTATGATACTTGAAGAAATGAAGAAGTGGTTAATTGCACAAGGATAACGAGGGAAACAACAATACGTATAAATTAATGTTCAGACTTCATTAAAAACAAAAAGTCGCTATTGTAAAGAGCAAGAGGATAGGGTATTGATGTCTTTATACTAAGAAAATGCTAGTAGTACATATTTGAAATTAACACTACTTACCTGAAGACTTTCTCAATATCCCTTGAATCACTCTCTTCAAAATAATCAGTAAATGGTGACCACGAAGAAAGTGAAGCCACGGGAGATGATGGGGTCGTTGTCGCTGTCATCATCCTTATCGTCGTGTTAATTGCCTTCTTGTTCTTCTTGTTGATTCTCTTAAGAATGCTAGACATCTTACGAAATAAATATATATATTCTAGAAAATTAATGAAACCAATAAGGATTTCAATCTTTAAGAATGAATGATTGATGGAGGTGAAATGGACGAAAAATGTATATAAATAAGGTTATTTTTCTTGTTGATAGGCTTAAATTAGAAAGAAAAAGAGTTGGAAGTTATCTCTTTTGTTAGAAAGTGAAAGGTAGCACATAGTTTTTTTTTCATATAAATTTTAGTTGGAATTTGTGTGAATATATAAGAAAAGGAAAGGCGATTAAAATTTAACGAGTTACTGCGTTGGGATTCTAGATTGTGTTACGTAGTGCCTGATAAAGAGTTGGATATGAGTGTAGGAAGTTTTATTTTGTACTTTCAAGGACATGAAAAGTTTACAACTTGTTCAATTTGATTTTGGCCTACTTTTGTCAACTAATTATCTTTTGATGTGCGTTAGTCTATTGCAATAATATTAATCTACTACTCCCACATGTTTGATTTATTTATTATACTTTTATAATATTTCAGTAGGCTTGATTTTTGGGTACATTTGACTATAGACAACATGGGAGTATGATCATTTGATACACATCTTTACTATATAAGACAAGGAAGGATCAGAGTAAAAAGTCGGTGTCTAACTTTTGATTGTTTTGAAATACCCAAATTTTCACCTCAAAGCTTAAAAATAATGAATAAAAAATAATATTCTAAAATAATAATTCTTGTTTCCTAAATTTTATAAAAATTTAAAAAACACAATAATGTGTTAAAGGAAACCTCATAAAATTAAAATTAAAATATAACTAAAGTCACTGTATTTTGCATTATTCCAAAAAAAAACATAGGAGAATTAAATCAAATATTACCCATGTAAAATATTAACCTCTACGCAATCAAGAACTTATATAGAATATTTGACAAAACCAACAAAATAAGATTACAAAGTAGTATAGTACCCGTGCAATTGCACAGTATAATAAGTTTATATGTATAATTTATTTGACAAAGCAATTTTTTTAATAATAATGACGAAGTGAAAATCAAAAGGTACGCTCTAACATATATAGCTCCTACAAATATCATAGCATGATTTAACGCTAGTATTTACATAATTATTCAATTATTATTTTACCTATTAAATTATCTATAGACTTAAAATTAGGGATGACAATTGGGTATAAAGATGCGAGTCTCATACTGCACTTGTCCCAATTGGAGCGGGTATGGGTCCAACTTTGACGAGTTAGTAGGCGGATATGGGTACAAAAGTCATACCCACCTTGGGTAGCGTGTAAGTGGTGCATTTGATGTCATACCCGCCAGTTAACTGTCAACTTATTACTACCACTAATTTTTTTTTCATATAATTCTTTTTGTATTTGTAATGATGAAAGAAAACTTTTATACCAATTGACTACTTACTTGTATAATATATTATTAAATTATGTATTTACAACAATTTAGAGATAGCATAATGACATGTTATAAAGGAAATTTATCATACAAATATTGTTAGGTTAGCGGATAGAAGATTGTCGGGTAGTGGACATCCATACGGGTGGTGGATTGGGTGTGGGTCTATAGCATAGGCGGGTGTGGGTGTTAAAATTTTACCCGTTGCGGGTGGCGGGTGACGGGTAGGTCACAGGTATAAAAATATTTGGCAGATGCAGATATGGGGGAGGGGTACCTGCACCACCTAATTGCCATCCCTTTCTACTTGAAATTATGAACCAGTAATTGGGTAAAAAATTTAGTATATGTTTTATACTACCTCTGTACTTTTTCGTTGTATTTACTTACGTTTATGATGAGGTCTCCAACGTCAATCTTTCACTAAATATTATTTTAATCATGTAATGATGATGTCTCCAACGTCAATATTTCACTAAATATTTTAAGCATGTAATGTATGTAAATAATGTAAATTTGATATTTTGATTTTTGGATAATACGTAGTATACATTAAACTGATTATAGCAAACGATGACCAATTTTTTTTAGTTTGACCCCATAAATACTATGATATACTCCATGAGTGAGTAGTATAAAAAAAATGATGGTAATATTATACATTTAATATGTTTAATTTGCTTGTGTGTGAGTATGTAAGTATTGTGCATATATTTTAGGTATTTGATATTGCCTTCATTTCATAATATTGAAAAAGTCAAACTTAGTGAACTTGCTAATGTTTAACCCTAAATAATAATAAAAAAAAAACGTTAATAAAATTATACATAAAAATGTAATATTATAAAACTTTATATGCATGATCTTTCATAATAATACTCATAGTAGTAATTCTAGAATTTTCAAGGTATATATGGAGAATACATTAGTCCAAATATATATGTATGATTTATTCTAAATATGTAGTTAGTAAGTATGTATAAGTGTATAAATAATTATGAATATTTGATTATATTCAACAAAATATTACATTAAAGCTTCATTTGGATATATTCCATTATATCTAAATAAGATATTACGTCATAAAAAATAATATAAGTTTGATAATTGTAAAACATACTAAAGTACATTATCATGAGATCAACTAGTGATAATAAGCAAGACTAAAGAGATTTGTTAGATTGCCATTAATATATTGCAATAAATTTTAGAATTATTATAAATAATATTATGTAATTAGGCGGAAAAATTTTCATTGTGGGAGCGACATGTGTCGAGTTTTAGGTTAAAAACCCTTTGTTTTAGTATAATTATACATAATAAGAGGTTTAAAACTTTAAAAACAAGTAAATGCAATCACGTGGAAAAAATCAAAGCAGTAGCATGCAACAGTTGCGCGGAAAATGTTGCCTCACAAGAGTAGAAGGCTAGTTAAAATATAAATGGACTAAAATGTCGTGTCAACTATATCATTTATTAAATAATATTTTGTTTTTTTATTAATCACAATTTTTAGAATTTTACATTATTCACACAAATTACTTTATCCTTTATTTGTAATTTATTGAACGAAATTCTACATTGAGAAATCTAATATATATATATATATATATATATATATATATATATATATATATATATCAAGATCATGTGAAAACCAAGTCCTATAATAGGAACTAGGAACTCATCGTGACTGTTGATCGCTCTTAATCAAATGGCTCATGCTTCACCCGCCTTTTTCAATTTCATTAAGGGTATTTTCGTAATTTCGGCAGTAGAATGACGTCCCTTGTTTTTCCAGGCGCCGCCGCATTTTCTCTCTCTACCTTCGAATTCTCTCAAAGGCGATTTTTCGCGATCTGCACTCTTCGCTTGCACTCATTGATTTGTCAAATTCTTCGATTTTGATCTTTAATTACTTCGTATTCTTCGATTTTTGTCATTCATTGAGGTAATTTTCTTGTGTTTTTGATTTTATTTTTATTTTCGTTGTTTATTTTGATTTTTTTGTTTATTTCATTACGATTTTTGCGATTTAGGGTTTTTTATTGTAAATTTTACCGATTAGTTTATTTTTCCTTATTAATTATTCTCTGATTTTTTTTCTACGATTTAGTGTTTGATTTAGGGCTTTATTTTTACGATTTAGGGTTTTTTTTATTTGATTTAAAGCTTTTACACTTACTTACCCAATTCATGGTAGTGGTTATGTATAGAGTTGCTATATGGCTGGCTGGTCTTAATAAAGTAGTAGAACTTCTTGTGATTTTAAATTTACTTTTTACATTGAGTCATTTACTTTTCATTATTAATTTTGCTTAATCCTTATAACTTCATTTTTTTAGTTTGTTTAACTTTTTGAGTTTTTTTATTTACTTTTTGCTTTAAGTCATTTACTTTTTAGTATACCTCTAATAGTTTTTATTAGTATACTTTTTTAAAATGGTTTACTTTTTGTTATTGTTAATTTACTTTTTTCTTTGATTCATTTACTTTTCAGGAAGATGACTGAAAGTGTAGAGCATTGTTCTGCTACTATCACTGATGAAGATATGAATGTAAGAATTTTTAAAATACCCATCAGCCTGTGCTTCCTAGGATATATTATAATTCTAGAGGTGATAAAGAGTATATCCCAGGTTGTTCTTTGGAAAACAAACCTATTTCTTTGATTCATTTACTTTTTAGGAAGATGACTGAAAGTGTAGAGCATTGTTCTGCTACTATCACTGATGAAGATACGAATGTAAGAATTTTTAAAATACCCATCAGCCTGTGCTTCCTAGGATATATTATAATTCTAGAGGTGATAAAGAGTATATCCCAGGTTGTTCTTTGGAAAACAAACCTATTCTTGGAATGAAATTTGATAGTCTTGGAGATGGTATTGCCTTTTATTACAAATATGGTAATGAGTGTGGATTTGAAGTCTGTTCTAGTACTACTAAAGTAGATAAGAATAAGGTTGGTTCTAGTAATGGTAAAGGAGTTACTGTAATTAATAAATATAGGTTTTGTAATGGTGGGCAGTATATGGTTTACTCTTTTTATGAGTCTCATTCTCACCCTTTTTCCACACCTATTACTAGGCAGGTTAATTACTAAATATGAAGTCGGTTTAAATTTTGCTCATAAGAAGTATATTTTTGACAACTCAAAGTTAAATATAGGGGTTGTTATGTCTTATAGGATCATGAAAGAACTTTGTGGTGGGTTATAAATGTCAGGGGCAGTAAAAATGACTTCAAAAATTATTCTAGGGACTTGAAAGTTTATATCTCTAATGCTGATGGTGAAATGTTTGTTCAAAACCTTGAACAAAAAGTGAAAAGCAGTAAAGGGGGTTATTATTTTGATTACTGTGTTGATGAAAGCAGGCACTTGACACATGTTTTTTTGGGCTGATGCTATTGGTAGAAGAGATTATCAATTGTTTGGGGACTCTTTATCTTTTGATTCTACCTAGGATAAATACCCATTGGTTTTCTTCCCTTTTACTGAAGTTGATAATCTTAAGAGATGTGTTACATTTTTGCTGCTTTATTATCTAAAGAAGATGGAGAATCTTTTGTGTGGCTATTTCAAACTTTTTTGAAGTGTATGGGAAGAGAACCCTCTTGCATAATCATTGATCAAGACCCTCCTCAATGGGTATTGCCATACAAAAGGTTTTTACCAAGACTAAACACAGGTTATGTATGTGGCACATAATGAGGAAGGTATCTGAAAAGATTAGAACTCAGTTTTGTAAAGAAACCGAGTTCTTGAAAAAGCTAAGTGCAGTAGTTTGGGATAGAGAAATTAATTAATCCCAGTGTATTTGTTGATTGCTGGAAAAGTGTTATGGAGGAATTTGACCTTATAGATCATGAGTGATTTGCATACATGTTGAAGATTAGGCATCTTTAGATCCCTGCATATTTCAGGGACTTGTTTATGGGTGGGTTACTGCGTTCTACTTCTAAGTCTGAAGGTGAAAACAGTTTCTTTTGTAATTTTATAAACCCCCATGTGACTTGTGTTGAATTCTT